AGAATTTCATTTTGACTACCACTTTCCTTCATCAATCTTTGGGCCCAAGATGGCATATGAACATGGAAATCTCATGCCACCAGATAGGCCAATGAGCCATAAAGATAGTCAGGGACCCATGTGAATCTGCATAGATATGACCATACATACTCATTGTAACAATAATCTATTCATAATTCTGATGAAACTTTTGTTTTGTGGGTTTCTTTTTAGAATGCGGAGGCCATAAAGATAGAGCACGAGAAGAAGGTGGCCCAAGTGAGGAAGCTGGAGATGAAGAGAGCTGACTATGTGAAGACCGAGAAGACAAAAAAAGAAGTGGAAAAGTTGGAGTCACAAATGATGGTTTCTTCGCAGGCCATTGAGACCACATCTGTCGAAATTATTAAGCTGAGGGAGACAGAGCTTTATCCACAACTAATAGAGCTCGTCAAAGGGTTGGTGATCTTTTCTATTAATCTCTCTTTCGTTTTCTTTTACAGACATGTATGTACACGAGTCTTTTGTCTTTTCAAGCAGTTTTGCTTGTTTCAAATCAAGGCATCAGGCTCTGTAAGCATTTAAGAGGTGGAGCCAATGAGGCAGTGACCCTTGAGTTCTCACGTGACCTTTTCTTGTTCATTTCCCAATTCAGGGCTACTGAAACAGCCCGGTACAAAGCGAGTTGTGGGTTGTAGGTAGGTTCAGTTTTTGATGTCTTTGGGTGAGGCTGCCAGTATTTTATTTGTGAATCCTCCAGTTTCAACGATATTGGACTAGCTTGGATTAGATCCCAGAGTAACTATGGGAAGAAAAGGGAACATCGTAGATTATTTACGTTTAATTCTCTACAGACAGAGGAGCAAAATGTTTTATTTTTCACCATTTAATTCCCATTAGGAGAGTGAGCATTCTTATTTATCTAAAGAACTTGGGCATTCTTGTTAAATTAGGATATTTTATTGACAGGAGATTTATTTTTCACCACTTTTTACTGCTTTTCTTTTGTGGGTTTATCTGTTTGAAGCCACTAAGAGTTCTGAGCTTGTTTCTTGCCTCTAGTTTGCTTTTGTTGCCTCCTAGTTTGGTTTTGCTGCAAAGAGCCAAAAAAGAATAACTGTCAAGTCCCTGCAGAGCACAGTCAGTCAAAGAGGGTATCTCTTTGACGATCAGGTTTGAACCTCTGGTTCTTTTCACTCCTTTAATATGTTTCTCAAAGGAGAGACACCTTAGGATCCGGAGGTTCAAATTGTACAACTTACAGTGGGGTCATTTGATTTAGATGGATAAAAAAGAAAAGGGTTGATGGATAAACATTTTTTGTCCTTATGTATAATTTCTCATTGTCCTTGATGCCTGGTCAAATTTCTGTCCTGGTCCAGAATAGTGACTGTTTGAAGATCGTATAGGACTATGAAACTTTACTTCGCACATCAGTCATGGCTGACCAAGTATTTCATGCCCTTGAGAGGAAAACCGGTTGTATCTTGGTTTTAAATCGAGGTACTGTATTGTTGATTGCTGGATTCAGTAGAAATAAATAGACTTTTCATTTTTTCCATAAATTTTGAAAGGTTGATTTCAAAAATCTAAAGGTATCAAGCATCGCACCTTAAGGCACCAGAGTTGAAGCCGGCATGAAAAGGATGAAAATTACGAATTTTATGTTTTCTGTGTATGCATATTATTATCATTTCCTATATGCGGAAGTTATGCATGCAAGAAAGTAGCTTTTTAAACCTACTAATCTGAACTTTATTTGATTTTGTAGATTAATGTGCATGTGGAGAAGCATGTACGAGAGCCACCAAGTCCAAACTCACATAGTTCAACAGCTCAAGTACCTCAACACCATCCCATCTACCGAACCCACTTCAGAGATTCACAAGCAATCAACTCTGCAGCTCGAGCTTGAAGTCCAGCAATGGCACCAAAGTTTCTGCAACCTTATCAAAGCTCAAAGGGACTATATCCAGTCTTTGACAGGCTGGTTGCGGCTTAGCCTCTTCCAGTTCAGCAAAAATCCTCTTCTGAGAAGCAGTCAAGAATCAAGGATTTACTCACTTTGTGAGGAATGGCACCTTGCAGTTGACAGGATTCCAGATAAGGTGGCATCCGAAGGAATCAAGAGCTTTTTGACAGTAATCCATGCCATTGTAGTCCAACAAGGGGAAGAGCAGAAGCAAAAGAAGAAGTCAGAATCTGCATTTAGGGACTTCGAGAAAAAGGTAGCTGAACTTAGAGTGCTGGAGAACAAATATGGTCCATTTTCAATGCCTGAAAGTTCTGGCTCCAGAAGTAAGAATCCAGTTGCTGATAAGCGAGCTAAGGTAGAGATTTTGAAAGCCAAAGCAGGAGAAGAGAAAACCAAACATGAGAAGTCTGTTAGTGTCACGAGAGCAATGACTCTCAATAATCTGCAGATGGGATTTCCGCACGTCTTTCAGGCCATGGTTGGATTTTCTAGTGTGTGTATACAAGCATTCGAGTCTGTATACAACCAAGTCAAGAGCAATGATCAGGAACATGATGTCAAGAGTCTATTACCTTGAAGAAAGGCTTACAATTAGGCAAACATAAATGGCATAAGTTTGTTTCCATGTATATATGGTACCTGGATGAGTTTTGCAAGGCTCAACTCCATTGCAGACAAGCTTGTGATTTTTGGTTTTCTCAGAGAGTGATTATGGTGAATCTATGTGCATTTTGAGACAGAATATCAGGTAACATAGCAGGCTGGAGACGAGATTCGGTGTCCAAAAGTCATGGAAAGTTTTGATCTGCAGAGGAATTGAGTTTTTGAAGTAGGCATAACCAAGTGTGTGAATGCTCTGAATTTTCTGCAGTTTTAGATCTTGTAAAATTATTTTTTGTCGAGGTCTTTTGAAGTTATCTCCTGTTCACAGAATGAGTTCAACTTCTGTTATGAATTATCAATCCCGACTTGCTAAAGAGTGTTAGAATTGTATGCTCTGAGTAGAGAAATCCTTGTCAATGCCTCAACTATTCTCTCTCTCTTTTCACCTTCCTCAGATTAATCCATGAATAAACCTGAGAGAAAGAAACCACAGATACTTCAAAGTCATCTGCCTCACCGTTGTGCTTCCATTCATTCTCTACCTTAATTGTTTTGTAAGAAGAACAAACCTGAAGCATATCTTGGACCCACCTGATCAAATTTTCCACAGTATTAGGACAAGAGAACAATTAAAGACAAACTTGGGGAAATTGTTAAAGAAGATGTAAAATTGGAACCCAATTCCTTTACACTAGAAATTTCAAGATGATACAGGACTAGTCTGAGAAAAATTCACAGGTCAATTTACCCCGTGGAGATACAGGATGGTTGTTCCACCATCAATGTAGGGTATTGGATGAAGCACTACACTTCCACTGCAACCAAGCCAGCCGTTTGTTCCGTTTCAACGACAAGAACGTCTCCCTTGAGCTAGGGTTATCAAACAAATCGAGAGCACCAAAATAAACATGCTCGTCCACACCTTTTAGCTCATCCAATTCTTTGACACAGTCAGCTATAGGAAATCTGGCATTTAATTGCTTCACGGCAGCTGTTCTCAACTTTGAAGCAGCAGCCATTTCCAACATGGCTCCAGCAATAGCATCATCAATTCCCTTGCGGCCTCTTTTGCGATTACCTATTATACCAGGTGCGGTAGGTTGATTTGTGCCTTGATTGTCTGCCATGTCGTCCACTTCCTCATATTCTGATGATGACTCTGCCGGGATCATGGTCAAGGTTTCTGCACAAGGAAGTGAGGAAGGATTTTCTTCCTTTTCTTCCTCAAGCTCCACTGATATCTCATGCTTCCCATTGGTTGCTGGCTCTGAGAATATTGTGCATAGCTGTCCATAGATTGGGCAGCCACTAGTTCTAATGCTTTCAGCATCAGGATGCACCTGATTTTCGTGTCCCATGTAAAGTAGGTCAGTCGATGGTCCACAGAGAACAGAAACAAGTTCCTCAATTTACAGGAACTAGACCACAAACCAAGAATTCCCACTTATACTACCTGGTTCTTCAACTAAATATGCTCTTCTTAATAACGATATGTATTGATTCAGTGTATTGTACAACTTAAAAACAATAACCCACAAATAGTATTTACAAACAAATATATCTTTCATTAAGGAAAATTCAAAAGGCAACGGAAAAGGGCAAACCTTGATGTATTCCGTCCAAGCTTCATCCTTGCCCATAACCATCCCCGTCGATTCATCCCAACTGAAGTCAGTCAGATCCAGAAGAGACTTAACAACAACATATTGCCGCCGCAAAACTGCAAACCTATTCTTGAGCTGCTCCTTGTCCCATCTCAGTCCTGTTTTCTTATAGAAATCATCACACAAAAGTACCCAAGCTTTCTTGTTGAAAGCATTGTTTAGTCTATTCCCTTTACGAACCTGGTCAACCAACAGGTCTACCAGTACCTTCGTCAAGAACATTGTCCACCTAGCCCTGGATTGTTGCTCTGGCTGCTGAGCTGCTAGTCTTCTTGACCGAGTAACTCGGCTTGTCATCTACAGCCATCAAAATCGGGATACTCAATGAACCAATGTCAAAAGGGCAGTTAATACGTGATATAATTCAAATAATAACCGGCTCTGAATCTAATTGCCATCGCTACACGTAGAAAGAGCTCAAAAGGCTGTTTGCTTTTTCACGAACAGAACTGTGAATCTATATTATGCTACGAACAATTGTGACAAAAGAAGTCACAGTACGTACATTATATAATAAGTTTCAAGAGTACCGAATGCAAACATGTTTGATTGATTCCAAAAAAAAAAAAGGAAAGAAAACCCTTCAAAAGCCAAAGAAAAGAGAAACAGAGAGCCTCGTAAAGGTTAATCAAAAAGTTCCCTTTACAGTAACTACATTAACAAACGGTAAACCCCAATTCTCCTAAAGAACCCTTAAATTACTATAGAGAATTATCATCGAGAAAACCCAAATTCTCACCGGAAAGCAAGAGTGTTGAGAATCTGGAGATTACAGAGAGAAATATAAATCTCCCGCAGCTTTCAAGTCTCTCCTCCGTCTTCGATGTTGGGATTTGCCTTGAAAGTCGACAGAACAGGCTTTGCCCAAACAGATCACAAGGTTTACTGGCTTGTCGTGGGAAGTTAGAAGAAAACAGGATCGTGTAGAAGATTGCCCCTCGAGTCTTGCGCATTCCCACTTCCAACCTCGCGTGCGCTACGCAGCCAATTTACTACTTCCCCGCCATTTTTTCTGCTTACGATCAACCTCCAGGGCCTATTGGTGGTTTTGATTTTGATTTTTTTTATGATTTTAAAATTTGTTTCATATTTTAGTTCTGAATATTCTTTTTTTTTTTTCCCAATAAATCAATCATATTTTTAGAATTAAATTATAAGTTCGTAAAATATTATTTTCACTGGAAAGTTACAACATGTAAAAATATCTAATTTAAATCTCACTCTTTGACATTTTCTCTACATATAAAAAATAATATCTGATTTTATTAATATTTCTTCCTTTTAATGGACAGTATTAATTAATCTTCCTACAAAGTCCAGCCTTTATATTATTTTTAAAATCAAATATTTATTGTTAGGGCTATTGGCCAATATTTCAACAGTTAAATTAATATAAATTTTAATTTTTTAACTGATAATATAATAATTTAGTAGTTAAAATTTTTATATTTTATTTAAATATTATAATTTTAAATTTTATTAAAAATATAAAATTTATTATTCTTTTAAGTGTATTATAAATTTATAATATTTTATTTAATTTAATCGAAAACATAACTTATTAATATATCATTAATACTATAATAAATAATTTTAATAAATTTATTATATTTTATAATAATTAAATTTTTTTAATTAAAATAATCACAATATATTAAAAATCAAAACTACCCAATTCTCCAAAAAAGATAATAATTTTATTTTGTTATCAGAAAAAAATATATATATATTAGTTTTATGTTTGTCAATCTTGGTAAATACAGAACCAGTGCCTATAAGGGTTACGATGGAAATAGCTTTGACAAAATAATTGGCCGAAGCAAATCCCCCAAATAATCTCTCAGACGCACTCTCCCCGTAAGTAGAGATTTACAATACTTGTAATTGAAACAAAACAAGGATATCCAAATATGCATATTTACACTGATGATCCCTGTAATATTAGAAAGGAAAAACCCAAATACCAAGAGTTAATGTATTAAAATATGGCCAACACTAAGACTAAACTCTTAAATCTTATTTTTCACCAATCTTCTATCTCATCCTCAGATATCTCATTACTTTTTTCATCGTCTGAACTCTCAAAATTGTCAGCGACTCTGTGACTGCCAGAAGCTCTAAATCCGAGCCACTTTATCGCAGGGTTGTATTCAGTGGCTATTACTACATCGTTGGATGCATTATAAGCAATAAATTTCTGCTTCATCATCTCCTTCTGCAATGAACAGATGCGCAACAGGAAATGTCAAATATACATTCAACATTCTGACTGCTTCAGTATTTGCAAAATTGGCTAACACTTGTCTTCTTTTCTTAAATGAATGAAACATATTATTATGCACCTTGTTCGACAAGGATGATTGCTCAACGTGCCAGAGGTATGGTCGGCGAATAGCATGCCACCTGCATGGTTCCAGGAATTGAAGTCAAATAGGAAAAAAATTAAGTGCCTAAAGGTGATTTGTTTCAATTTTAAATTTTTTGTTCCATAATTTTAAATTAACAAATTATATCCATACTTTCTTCCAACTAATTTGAACTCATTAAACCCACTGCCAAATAGAATGTAGGTCTCAACTAGGATAACAGAACTTTAAATTGAGATGAACCTTGAATGCAGTGGATTGGCATTTCCATATAATACCCCACGAACAGCCACTGAAGCAGCAGTTGATTGTAAAACATTCTCTGTCTCATTATGTTTTGTAAACATTCCCCGGAAGGAAGCAAGCAGCAAATCAGCATCACCTAAATATGACAGCACAGACCACGCATCGTTTATTGCATCGTCACTCAGAAAATCCAACACTGCAAGGAAGTTGTATGGAAGAATTAAATATATGATTCATTATGCCAGAATCCAGAAAATTTGTAAGAATTCCCATGAAAATAAGGTAAAGTTTTGTTCAAATTTCAATTCTATGAAGAAAAAATAAGATACGGTGTAAAATGGAATTTGAATAAAAATAATGTTCTAATTTCAAGAATTTCATGTCCAACTCAAGTTAGATGCTTTTGTAATTCTTGTCTTGCAGGTGGAAACAAATTCATCCTTGTGAGATAAAAGTTTCTAATTCATATCAATAAATTAGTACTTATTAAATAGAACCAAAACAGGTTTAAAACAAATATAAGATAAGAGTATATTCAAAGAGAAAGTGCTAAATATTACTAAAAAAATAATAAGCAAATTACAGACCCCAAAAGAAAAAGCTAATACCATTTTCATGAAGAAAATCAGTTACAGCCCTCGCTTGCCCATGTGCCTGACAGAGAACCTTTTCTGGAGCATCCATTTTTAACGGTAGTCTTGCAAATTTCTTCTGTACAAGAAATTCAGAATTGCCTACATCACAAAAACAACATTTAGGAGAAAATGATCTAACATGTAAGCAGAACAGCAGTCATTCTCAAACTATATGAAATAGAACTGCTACATGTCCCATCTCCCATATATGTTTTACTGGATTACAATCCCCACTTCAAGAAGAATTAAATTAAATGAGGATGTAACATCTTTTTGTAACACACCCAATCCAATGGCATTCTCAGTCTCTCGTTTGTTGTGCAGAAACTTTCCCAGGGCATGAAATAGAGAAAGGGTCTCATCTCTGCCAAACTGCAAAGACAATCCATTGTCCAAAGCATTGAGCTCATTTCCCCTTTCTTTGGAGTAAGGAGTACAACAGGATGACAATAAATTAATCTTCGGATCCGATTTCAGCAAGAAAAGTTGTAAAGACATAATTGCATGCCTGATGTCACCACCACTGGCTTTTGTGATTAAATCAATCTCTTCAGCAGTTACATTACAGTGCTCTAGTCTGCATATTCTCAGAAGTGTCTTCTTAATGGAATTGTTTGTTATGGGGTTGAATGCAATCTGAAAAATCACCAAAACCAGATCAAAATGAATATTAAGTCTCCATATAATTATGGTATTAAACCAAGAGACGGAATTTGTACAACACCATGACCTTACAAGCCCCAGCACTTTCAAGAGACAGCTGAAGTTGTCCCAAGCATAGTGCAGTTTTGTCAGCTGAATCTGTTTTACCATAGTCAGTAATCAATATAACTGTTGGCATCTGGGTTGATCTGACAAGAAGAAGCAGACAGTTTTGTAGTCTTTCAAAAGCAACTCGCCCATTTGTCACTGGTAGGTCATCAATAACAAGTACGGTTGATGATTTTGGCTCCCCAGATACAGATGAGGGAATCAACCCATACTTTGTTGTTCTCCCGACAAAGTGTTCAAACTCGTCCAACTTAGATGTGTAGCGCAGTCCTAGAAGCAGACCGATTTATCGTTAATCATCTAGAGAATATCATGGCCATATATGAAATATGCAGCTTGACTCTGAAAACCTACTAATCAAAATATGCATATCATAATAGAATAGACAACATAAAGTGGGACAGAAAGATAATATATCAGTTAATTTGGAAGCACAATGTCAAACCCTAAATTGTATTTTTTTTCCATAAAAAAGAATTCATTAAAGAGGAAGAGAAGAAAAAGAGGATAATAATATCCTCAAATCATTTATGACAGAACAAAGAAAATTAAGAAAGAAAACAGAAAGTGTTAAGACAAAGTAGAGATTAATCTATTTGTAAAGTAGATAGTTGACTTGCAAAACAAGAAGCAATATCAGAAATAATTTGGACTTTAAGAACTGAAGATTAAAATTCACATGCATTCTTTGCATGAATTACAGGACACAGGACTTAGAATGACCCAAGAACTTCAGTTGGAAATGGAAAGGAAACAAACATATAAGTCAATTCACAACCAAACCCAGGAAAATTTGAATTTACCCCTTGATGACAATATTTACTTGAAATACCTGAACTGGAGTTATACACGTGTTCTTGCCAAATTGTGGGAGTAGGTGAATTCCATTCACATAGTCTAGCTCCAAGATGAGATGCAATCACATGAATAGTTGCCTAAAGAAAGAAGCGAAACCTTGGAAGTAAAGTTCTAGTTAAAATCATGAGTCTAACAATATCATAAAGTACCACAGAACAGATTGCTGATCATCTGTAAGCAAACTTCCTATAAGACTTGGCAAATTCAGTACAGTTAAGACCAGACCAGAAGCTAGCCACAAAAATCTGTAGTTGCAGTCCCACTACTGGACATTCATATTGATATGAGGAATACGAAGACGAAACAAAAAAAAAAGACTAAGTTACTCTGTACTAGAGGAACAAGGGTCAATCCAAAAGAAATACTAATAGCAATAGCACAAGATATGCACATATGCCATGGTATCCAATCTCCACATAAAACAAAGAAAAGAGAGTAATCAATGACATAAAGGACAAGAATCAAATGAGCAAAAAAAGAACAGAATTTTCAATCAATTTGATGCCCCGTTATTGAAGCCAAAATTCTCACTTTTACTTGTCCGTGTGAGTGTTCCCGCCCTAAGGCAGAATGCTAACCTACTGTGCATTTTTACATTCTAAAGCTTTGGCAAATTGCTTATTTCTCTTCAGCACAAATGAGTTCAATCAATGAGCTATTATGCCTTCTTCCAAGGACTGTTGCTTCTAGACAAACCTTAATGTAAATTTAAAAAGAATATAGATGACACTTTGCTTATTCACCATAAGAATGGTAACAGTCCTAATTTTTATGCTTTTGATTCTTGTTTCACACTAAGAACAAGAACACTTTTTTCTAAATCAAATGAATAATTTTTTGTAGGAATCATTGGACCAGAAAAAGGCTCAATGTGCTACTTCCAGACCAGGCTGTGGAAATCAGAAAGACCCATTTTTGACGCAATGAAATCAAAGAAATATTCTTGTTTTTGATATTTTACTTGGTACATCTCTTTTGATTTTCCTAGAGCTATATCTAAATAGAATTTGTTGATAAAAGTTATGTATAAATAAGCTATACATATTATATAAAATACAATAATAATCTATACAAAAAAACTAAATTATAAAAAATTAAAGAAGGATGTGACACTCAAGAAGTGACAGAACAAAATATATCAAATAGATATTAAGAAACTCTGTAACTCTAACTCAATCTTATTTCCTTTCACACCACCTCCAAAAAATTTCACAATTAGAGTTTTTTGAATGCATATGAAATGGCTCTTTAGACAAGAGGTATTCACAGAACAAGAAAAAAAGTGATTGATGACATACAGATTTTCCAACTCCAGCTTGGCCACTGATGACAAGAACCCGATTACCAAATTCCTCCTGCAAATAGTGATGAGACAAACTAAATGAAACAAACCACCCCCCAAAAGAGACAAGAAAAGGAAAGGTCTACACATTTGGATATTATAATTTATGAATATGACTACCTTAGAAGCTCTGAACCTTTCCTCGAGCCACATTTTCACTTCTTCAATCTGAAATCTTAGACTGAAAGGGTTGGCATTTATACAGGGACATAAATAACCAATAAAACATAAAATAAAATTACCACTCAACCTTCTTTTTGTGAACAGCAAGCTCCTCCAAAGAACGAGGGTGGTATTTGTCAACCCATAAGTCTCTCGTTTTTCTTCCTCCAGAACCTAAATTTAGTTTCCATTCATGCAATAAGCATAAAACAAAAAAGCACTGGAGATAAAAGGAAAACATTATCATTAGACATAATGAAAATATTGAACATGATTTTTTTAAAATGAGAAGCTTGAAACATAACATGATTTTTTTAAAAAATGAGAAATTAAACATGAAATTTTGATTATATATCATTAGAACTGTTACTAGATTTAGAAAGAAGGAATGGAAACACATAGTAATAGGAAATGGGACCAGATGAACTACATATAAATAACAAAATAGCATGTTATGAAACCATGCTTCACCAAGCGAACAGAAATTAAGATTGTCACTGCAACATTGTAGCAACCATCGTGCATACCAGCAGATACCTTGAACCCATTTAGAACTTCATCAAAATCTTCAAAAGACAACCTCACCTGCATCAAACAGAGTCAAATGTCACGTTGCTAACAATGGAATAAGAACAATAAAAATTTAAGATTCTTGCTAACACTGAAACAAAGAACAATAAAATGAAGCGTTCTTTTTCTCCTCCTGATAGAATCTCAAACACAAAATGGAAGTATCTTGTGAACAATGAAAGACGTACAATGCTCACAAATAAAATATAAGGTTGCCAACAATACAATACTTCATCCTGCCTGGGAAGAAACCTGTTCGGCTCCCGAGAAATAGAATTTAGAAGGAAAATCGAGTAAAAAAAAAAGGGTATATTTGAACTTTCAAATGTTAATCACTCAACTTTTTATCCTCAAACAGAAAATACGCAATCAAACATAACCATGACAACCACCCATAATACCCGAGTTCTTCAATTTTTTCTCCTAAATTCACAAAACAACATAATAAATGGATAGTGGAAACTGTTTACAAACTAAGACGCCGGTATCATCAAATCAATAAGAACAGAAAGATTTTTATTAGAAATAAATAAAAGAACATCAAATAAATCAGAATCGGTACTCGGAAGCTTACCTCATCCACATTGCTAGGTTCTCGACTAAAGCGGGACCTAGAACCCGAAAGGCGAGCTCTCTTTGCTTCTCTGGGGCTTGTGCGACGAGCAGATGACTTGGACTTGGACTTTGAATTACTTCGACTCGCGGTCAACAACCGATTATTATCTTCATCGTCTGATGACAACACAACGACACCATTTCTTTTTCCCATCGTCTTCGACTGTTAAAAATCCCTTAATTTAGGGTTTTGCACGAACAAGCCAAGCTCGTAAGACCAATATAACATTGGACAATCTCCCATGGACAGACAAAACCCTAACAGGAACAGGAAATGAAGAAGGCAACGAACGTGGCTTCAAAATCCGAACTGGGAATCTGAAGCATAAAGAGGCGTTCCCTGTAGAGAAAAGGAAGCAGTATTGAAGAAGCCAAAGACACTCGCAGTAACGGCAGAGAGTTATATGGGGAAGATTTTCGCGGGTTCGAAAAAGCGCGCGGGGGTGTTATCTTGGAGGTGTACACGAGAAGCTGATGAAATGGCGACAATTGAGTTTACACTTCACCGTAAATATTTGTCGTAGTACTTTTTACTTTTTACTTTTTACTTTTTACCTCACCCGACCCGAATTTCCCAGGAGAAAGTAAATCCCCGAGTGGACTCATACATTTTTCACCAATCACGATTAGCACGCCACCCATACACCTACCACACCATCCTCTTTCTTCTCCAGCATACAAACCAAACAATGCGTCTTTCAGAAAGGGATACGGCCCCCTATTTCGCTCGCGCCCAAGCCCGAAATAGGACCCGAGTCGAAGCTCATGGCATCCATCGCAAACGCGCTTTCTCTGTCTGTCACCGCCAAGCTGCCTGCCAAAAACTCCAACTACGATTTTTTTGTCCGGTTTCAAGGCCATAGAGCGACTGCGCTTCGGTATTCTGTCATTTCGCGGCGTTCCATTGAGTTAAATCGGAGTAGGTTGTGTGTGTCGAGCACGAATCGGCCCAGGTCGAGGATATGCGCGAATGCAGCTCAGGTGATGGACCAATCGGTTAGCGAAAAAAGCTTCACGCCTCCTACCATCGTGGAGGTTGATTTAGGCAGCAGGAGTTACCCGATCTATATTGGATCGGGACTTCTCGATCAACCCGAACTTCTTCAGAGGTTTTTTTTTTCCCGTCTTTTTTGAGTTTGCACGAAATTGAAGCATACAGAGACTCTTTTCTTTATTATTTCAATCAAGTTTTTTCGTTGTCATCATATCTATAAGCTTTTCCCCCATTTGATTGAAGAATTGTCATAGTTTTATTGGGTCTTCAGTTAGTTGATATGATAGTATGTAGGAACGTGTTTGTGTGGTTGTTGGGTCGCGGCTTGTAGGAGAAGGAAAAGAAAAATTTAAGTTTAAATTCTGCAGATTAACAAGCTTTATGTCTTGCTACGGTCTGTGAGCTTGATGTATGGACATAATGGTGTTAGCTAGAATTGTTTTAACTTTTCCTATCTTCTAGCTGATTTTCTTATGAGGGTTGTTCTCATTGATTTCGTGGTTCGTATTAATAGGCATGTTCATGGCAAGAGAGTTCTTGTGGTCACTAACTGCACGGTTGCACCATTATATCTGGACAAAGTTGTTGATGCTTTAACTAGAGGAAACCCAAATGTCTCAGTGGATAGTGTCATCTTACCAGATGGTGAGAAGTACAAGGACATGGTAGGTATTGACTGAGGTTTTAGTACTTTACAGTTTGTGTTTTTGGTATGATGACAGTTAATGACAGTGACTGTAATCCTTTTTTGTTACAGGACACCCTCATGAAGGTCTTTGACAAAGCTATTGAATCACGCTTGGATCGAAGATGTACATTTATTGCTCTTGGAGGGGGTGTGATTGGAGACATGTGTGGATTTGCTGCTGCATCATTTCTCCGTGGTGTTAATTTCATTCAGATTCCAACAACTGTTATGGCACAGGTCTTTTGTCTGTTTGTGCTTCATTTAGTTCCTTTATGAAACTATTTTTCTTTGCCAAATGTTTCCTTGTTTCAAAAATTTGATCTCACAGGTAGATTCTTCTGTTGGTGGGAAAACGGGCATAAATCATCGCCTTGGAAAGAATTTGATAGGTGCTTTCTACCAACCCCAGAGCGTTCTTATAGACACTGACACATTAAACACGTTACCGGATAGGGAGCTGGCATCAGGCGTTGCTGAAGTGATTAAGTATGGGCTCATAAGGGATGCTGAATTTTTTGAATGGCAGGAGAAGAATATGGAAGCGTTATTGGCAAGGTACAAACTATTGATCGAATAATTTAGCTGAAGTGTAAAACCACACTGTTAGAATTCAAATTATTGATCTCATGCTTACAGCCTTGAATGTAAGAGTTACATGGCTCTTTTCATATCCCTGCATTGACTAGTTACCTTTCTAACATTTTGGAGCAGATGCTATTGAAATAAGGTTTTTAGTATTGTAAAACAGCATGCTTTTCTTATGCTTGCACTTCTATTAGGCATCAAGCATGCATGATTATTTTGGGTTGGCTGATTGCAGAGATCCAGCTGTGCTAGCTTATGCTATAAAGCGATCATGTGAAAATAAAGCTGAGGTTGTGTCATTAGATGAGAAGGAAAGTGGATTGAGAGCAACATTAAATTTGGGTCATTCATTTGGCCATGTAAGTTCTTTTGCAATTTTATTACATTTGAGTGTGAAAACATTGCAAAGTTGTGAAGTTCCTCTACAATGCTGTAACCGTGCTAACATAAAATCATCATTGATATAAGATTGGTGCTTTATTAGTGCAATTTCAATGGAATCGTATAATTACCATGAGTTGCCAAAAGTTCCCCTCTCATTTCATTTTTCTCATGGTGCGGGATGCCTTTTAGGCAATTGAAACTGGCTTTGGATATGGGGAGTGGCTTCATGGAGAAGCTGTTGCAGCTGGAACAGTATGTATATGCTTTAACTACAAATGCTTACTTCTTGCTACCCCCACCCTTTAACTTCCTTCTTTGTCTTATTTCCAAGCAAACTGTATGATGATTTTCAGGTCATGGCTGTAGACATGTCATATCGCCTTGGTTGGATTGATGATTCAATTGTGAATCGGGTGAACAACATTTTAAAACGGGCTAAGTTACCAACTGCACCTCCTGATGTCATGACTGTGGACATGTTCAAGTCTGTCATGGCGGTGAGTGAAACATCAGATCTAAATCATACTTTAAAAATGAAAATTGGTTTCTAATCAACATATTAACATATCTGGATTCTTTTATTAACATGATAGGTTGATAAGAAGGTTGCTGATGGGCTGCTAAGGCTTATCCTTCTAAAAGGTCCTCTAGGCAATTGTGTTTTCACAGGCGATTATGATAGGAAGGCCTTGGATGATACGCTTCGTGCATTTTGCAAGTCATGAATTGGTATTGGACTTTCTGTCTCCATATTGCATCCAATTGTTGGAAAAGATGATTGGTAGTGTATTTTTCAGTGCCCATGCCTGATCTTTTCTAATTCGTCACGTCCGTCTCTTGGCATTTTTTAACTTAGTTGGGAGAAGTTATTACTTGTAATTCCAGGTGTATGGAAGATCAATAAGAGGCAATTCATTCTGTGTTTCCCATTGCATCTGAAATGGTTGTAGCTCTCTCTCCCCACACAAATCCCGTGTTCCTTTTTTTTTTTTGCCTTTTCTTTGGGAAAAGACTTGTCAGGCTGGTGTTATACAAAGAGATGTAACATTTTGGTGATCTTAAAAGATATTTGGCTGGTGGGTTATATGTTGAAGAAAATTCGTGTACGTGTTTTTGCATCACTCACTAAACTCAAGCTTCAATTCCGAAACTATGAATGAATTCTACAAGTGTTGGAATCCCACAGATCGAGGGTCCCTGAACGAGGTCTCAGATGAAACAGGCAAACAGCTCCAGCTTCAAGACTACATTTGAAATTTTGTAACAACTTTGAACCATTTCTTTACTGGGAATATCAGGTAAAATAAGAATCGTAGCCCCAGCTACTTTTGAATCAAACTTCTCTCTGTTTGTTGAATTTAAGTTCTTGAAGATTCTTTTAATGAAATAAAAACATATTACGAAACATCATGGTTAGGTTCTTGATAATGGGAATGGGACGAGAGTGTTGTGAGGGAAAGGAGTTTGTTTGTCTCCTCATAGGCATCCTACAAAAGTTATATATCCAAGTGTAAGTAGTTTATTTTTCAATACAAAACTTAATTTTGCATCGTTTAAACCTTAAAAAACCCTAAATTATCATTTAATTAACAAGGAGTATTAAATAAACATTAGATAATTCATCTATAGGACTCTCAATGGAAAAATATTAACTGTTTGAATGCCATGTAAAATGTTTTTGTTAATTTCTCTGTTTTTTAGTTGTTTCTTAACACATGTACACACACACACACATATATATATATATATATATCAGAGAAATACATTTACTTTATTTTTGCTAACATAAAAATACCATTTTATTTTATTTTCTCCATTATTAAATATATATATATATGTATAGAGATTTATTGAAAATGAAGCAAAAACCTGAATGATTTGTCTTTCCATTTGTAGGCCATGTGGGTTTGTTTGATGCAGTGAAATAAAATTATTAGTTGACCCCTTTTTTTTCTCTTAACCTCTAATCAAATTATTAGTTTGTGATTTTTGTTAATTAATTTAATTAAAAATTTTAAGAACACTAAAATTTTCAATTTATTATTTATCATTAAATAATCATAGCATTTATTATTAATAATATTACTATACTTTTTCGTGAAATTTATTCTTGTATATTTTAATTTCTTTTTTTCACATATGAATAGTATAATCTCTAGTGATATTAAATATACATATTAATAAAATAATTTTACCTAACATTTTCAACACACATGACAATAATATTTTACCCAAATAAAATTGTTTGTAATTTGAAAATTAAAAAAAAATAAAAAAGTTTATATTTTACAAATATATTATATATATATATAAATAATTTTTAAAAAAATAAAAATAAAAACCAAAAAGAAAAGGTTGAAAAGCATAGAAAATAAAACAAAAAAAGAAGCCAAGCAATCAGGAGGTTTGTTGGCGAAGATTGGTTCGCCCAACGAACGCTTCAACGGCATAATTTCCCGGCCAAAAAAACAGGTCTCTTCTTCTTTCGTTTCTCTAATCACCCAACCAAAATCCCCTTTTCATTTTCTAGGGTTCTCCCTTCTTCTTTTTTTTCTTCCAAGTTCTTTCTCTTCCTCTCTGTGATCATCAATTCTCACTATCTATTTTCATATTTTTTAATGTCTTTTAGGGTTTCCCTTTGAAAGTTTCTTCTTTTCTTTTCTTTTCGCCTTGTTTTTTTAGTGCTCACGATGGTTAACTGAAGGAGGAGGAGGAGGAGGAGGAGGAGGAGGAGGAGGAACAAAACGAAATAGAGAGAGGATCGAATTAGGGGTGCGTTTTGTTTGTGTTACCGAGGTGGTCCTCAGGTGTTAAGATCTGAGGGAAGATTTTTCTTTTTCTTTTCTTTTCTTTTCCTTTTTTTTTTCCGTTTTTTAGTTTTCTTTGGGGAATTGGGAAAAGTGATTGAAAAATGAGCGCTTCAAGGTTTATCAAGTGCGTGACGGTTGGTGACGGAGCTGTGGGTAAAACTTGTCTGCTTATTTCTTACACCAGCAATACCTTCCCTACGGTAATTTCTTTCTCCTTTATCGTTCATTTTCTTCAACTTTAGGTTTCTCAAGTTTGGTCGATTCTTCTATTAAAAGTTTGGAGCTTGGTTTCAAATTTCTAATCGCGTGTTACATTCTCTTTATGCATTACGTTTTTTTTTTTATATCTAAGTTAGTGAAAGTAACATAAATGCCTGATTTGGTTTTTCACTAGTGTTAAATTTTTTTGTGGCTTGGGTTATTTTTCTCCTATATTGTGATGTTTCTTATTTTGCTTCCAGTTGTTTGGGAAGGGATTGAAATTATGGCACTTATTTTTGTCTGATTTGGGTAATACTTGCCTACATTAATAAAAGGTAGTAATTTGACATGTGTCTATGTTGGAAACGCTGTTGTTTTGGCATTAGCTTTATTATAAACCTTTAGGTTAGATCGTGTTTGTTTTCAAATCTAATTCACAGATTATGCGGGAGTGGAATTATTGTGCTTCTTTTTTGGTTCTTCTTGATGAGATTTCAAATTCCATTTCATTTTCTTGAGTTTACATTTACCAAGGATATTTTCATTACCCCTTTTCCCCTGATGTGATGAGTTCTCTTAATGATTTGGAAGAGGATATTTGTTAAGACAGGACCTTACATCTTATTGTTCTGGGGTTGTAATGGGTAACAGGATTATGTGCCAACTGTTTTCGACAATTTCAGTGCAAATGTGGTTGTCAATGGCAGCACTGTTAACCTGGGCTTGTGGGATACTGCAGGTAACTTTCTACAGTGAACTTTTTTATTTGACATTTTTCTTCCCTTGTGAGCTTGAATTTGATTCTGTGGAACAGGACAGGAGGATTATAACAGATTAAGACCTCTAAGTTACCGTGGGGCAGATGTTTTCATATTGGCATTCTCTCTTATTAGCAAGGCCAGTTACGAAAATGTGTCCAAAAAGGTGGGAATTCACTGGCCTAAAGACAAAATACTGCCCACTTACTCTTAAGAGTTGCTTTTCTGAACTGTGTTTGATAAATTAGTTGCTGATTGAGTTCCTTGGTTGAATTTTATTTCCAGTGGATACCAGAGTTGAAACATTATGCCCCAGGTGTCCCAATAGTTCTCGTTGGAACAAAGCTTGGTAAGCTTCTATGCCATCCATTTAATACATTAACATACTGTCTTGTTGGAACAATGATTATTTGATTGATCGTTTTCTTCAAGTGTGACATGATCTTAAACTTCAACTTCGAAGTTCAAGATACAGTTATTTAAATATTAAATTTTAGTTACGATTGGCATAATCTTTGCTGATTCTGCATCTACGATTTCTTATTCACTAGCCAGTTTTAACTTTGTTTCTGAACTGTGATGGCAAGTATTTGTCAGGCATTTGTCTGTTCCCTCACTGTGTTTTTGTTTAAGGTGGTTAATGCCCGTGGATGTATTTTACTTATTTATATGGTCTATATTGTCTAGCCTCAGTGTCGCAAACAGTTTTATTTAGTATTCAGTTTGTCCAATTAGAATGATAGAATTTTTTTTTGAATGTGTTTAGAATTTCCATCTGCCTCCTGCTGTTTAGATATATCGCTTTATGCTTTTTACGGTTATTATAATTCTTATGCATGTTGACTTCTCACTACTGCTGAATGTTTTATTATCATCTGCTTCATCATTAACAATTTTTTTTTTATGAGAAGTAGTGGAGAGGGAGGTGATCTATGACCATGGCCTTTTAAAAAGGGTGATTACTATTTGAAGGGGTGGTTTTTATCCTAATTACAACTTTTTTTATGATTATATATTACTTTATTTTGGATCATTAAAACAAGAGAATGTTAAATTTATGGATATTATTTATCTCATTGTTTCTTTTGCTAATACCAAATGTAAATATAAAGTAGAAGTCCCTCCTTGGTGTTATCCTTTCCTCAATAGGGTTTATATGTTAAGGTGTTGATAATGCCAATAGCTAAGTAGCTCGAGCTTATGCCTTAATATAAACAAAGCCGGTGAGACCAGTTGCAAGGTATTCATGTTGCAAATATACATGTTAAGTTGTGGACAAATGGCCTGTAGAAAATTTCCCAGAAATTTTGTGTTAGACCTTCATATCATTCTAGCACTTGTAGCTTTGGATGCTCTATTAATAGTTTTATTTTCATAGATTTGTTAGTCTAGCTGCCTTGTGATAATCCATCATTTGTAGTAGTAGTTATGTCTTTCTGCCAAATGTATGCTCTCACTGGTACAATCATATGATATACATAATTAAAGATTTTTCATTAGGATATTTTGTTTACTGGTTTTGATTTCCAAATGAGCCAGATCTCCGGGATGATAAACAATTCTTTATTGACCACCCCGGTGCTGTGCCTATTACTACTGCTCAGGTAATGACTTATGCTGCACTTTGTCTTTGTGGATGAAACTTTGTTCTTGACATTGATTGATCAGCACCATTTTTTGTCTGAAAGGGAGAGGAGCTGAGGAAGCTGATCGGTGCGCCTGCTTATATTGAGTGCAGCTCAAAGACACAGCAGGTATAGATATTATCAAACTTTTTTTCATATTTTCTTTTTCATCAGTCACTATAGTGAAGAGATCCTTGGGATTTTCAATGGCAGAATGTGAAGGCAGTATTTGATGCCGCCATCAGAGTTGTCCTTCAACCACCCAAAACAAAGAAAAAGAAGAACAAAGCACAGAAAGCTTGCTCCATATTGTGATTGCTATGGAGCTGAAAGGATATGATGGCACTGTGTTCTCCTTGTCTCTTCCCTTAGCTCTTGCAGATACTAGAGGCTCTGAATTGTCTTGACTGATGACAATACTCAGCATCTCTGGGAAGCATCCAGTGGTTTCGTACTGCATTCTTGGAATTATTTTGGTCTCTAATTGTTGAAACCCGTTACATGATTGTCCAACTTTTTCTAGACTCCCGGTTTTGATATGTTTTTATGTATTAATGGACTGGAACATCCCAGTTAGGAAAGCATCCTTTTGTTGCATTGACTCTCTTATATTTATAGCTCTGTATTGATCTTAAAGGTTTAGCTATGTTTGTGGTTTCCAACTTCTGAGTGTAGTAGTTCCTTATTCAACGTTTGCTGGTTTGTGATATTTCTTTGGGTAATTTTGGTCTTTGATTTCCAGCTCACCCTGTATAACCTTAGCTAATGTAGCTCAAATAAGGACAAAAGCAGATAGAGGATCAACATCCCTTGCGTTAAAAGTAAAAGAGCTTTAGAGCAGCTGTCTAAAATTTCCTTTTTGTGGCCATGGGCGTGCAGGTGTATGATTGGTATTGAACCAGTTGTTGGGACGTGAATGCTTACCCGGATACTCTATTTGGGCTAAGCACGAATAATATCTTTTTGTCTTTTGAGCATGAGCTGTAGTTGTTGGCTGGTGGTGCCTAATTAGACATCATATTCTTCCATGCCAAAAGATAGCTCGAAGTTGGATTTGTGACTGTGATGACATGTTCAATTTTCAAATAGTGATTATAGTTCCAAAGCAAGATAATATTTATTATGATCATGTTTAAAAAAACTTTTTACGGGGGTTGTTCCTACAAAGGAAGAGTCCGATTATTGGATTCAAGAAAGATGAGATCAATCCTTTGATGCGTTCGTTAGCATAAGATCCTTTTTAACTAGGAATTCGCTCGATTTAAGTAGGAATTTGCTTGATATGAGTATAACAGCAACTAAAATTATCACCATTGGAAGTGAGATTTTTAGACTCCAAACTCCTAAGTTAATACATTTCAATGACTTTTTGCCACCTAGACAACACCTTTACTTACCAGACGATACATTCATTAGTCATTAGTATGGCCATGTTTGCCCACAAAACAAAACGAGTATTGAATCTTTGATGGTAGGAGTCAGCCAGCTGTTTAAGTGCAGAATCTTGGGCATGTCAGAAACCGTAGATTCGTCACTAAAGAAGCCCATCAATACTACAGTTTTTGTTATGATTCTTGATGCCAACTACTAGGGAAAAAAAAAGAACTATAGTAGTGGGAGATATTTTTGTTCTGTGTAAAGGAGTAGAGGGTTTTGGACTAATATTTTGGCCTTTGCTTTTTATTTGAGTGGATGAGGATTGAGATTCCTGAAATGTTTCAGGGTCTTCCCTCTCGAAGTTGGCTAGAGGTTCTTGTCTCCATCAGTTAAATACACAACAAAAAAAGAAAAGAAGAGAAAAAAAAAAAAAAAAGTTACGAACTTTCGTAAAAATTTCAGTCTTTTCAAGGGAATTAATACTATGGTCTTGTGTCCACTCCTGTAGCACTCGATAAAAAGGAATCCCACTAACCGAGCTCCACAATCCTCCTCCTCTCGTCTTTCTTTATAAACAACATGTAACTCAGTTCTGAAGGGTATACAGATTAATCCCTTATTCTACTTGATAGAAGAAGAGGATGGCATCAAGGAGAATTCTCAAGGAACTTAGGGACATCCAGAGAGACCCTCCAACTTCATGTAGCGCAGGTACATAGACAGCATATAAAAAAAATTCCATTGGGCTTGGTTAGCACGATAAAGAAGGGCTTTTGTGTTTTGAAGTACAGGTCCTGGGGCGGGAGATATGTTCCATTGGCAGGCAACCATAATTGGACCAAGTGACAGCCCTTACTCTGGTGGTGTTTTCCTAGTAACTGTTCATTTTCCTCCTGACTATCCTTTCAAGCCACCAAAGGTAGTAGTAATAAAGTTAAAAGACCCCCATTAAATTAAAAACCTTTTACTTCATGTTCATGTTCGTGTCAATGCATGCAGGTTGCCTTCAGGACAAAAGTCTTCCACCCAAATATAAACAGTAATGGCAACATATGTTTAGATATCCTCAAGGAGCAGTGGAGTCCTGCGCTCACTATATCAAAGGTAGAAGATAAATATTGCACTTACAAAATATAAATAATTGACTTTATACTTTGCCATCTAATGTCGTCGCAGGTCTTACTTTCTATATGTTCCTTATTGACGGACCCAAACCCGGACGATCCACTTGTCCCCGAGATCGCACATATTTACAAGACTGATAAACTCAAGTACGAGACGATGGCACGTAGCTGGACTCACAAGTATGCCATGGCTTGATTCATAATCTTCAACCACCCCCACGGAAAATAAACCGTCTTTCCTTCCTATCGTTCTCTTGTATGTCACTGAAGCTAACCCCGGCCCCTACAATTTGTATTCTCAAATCCCAATCAATATAATAATAATGTCATTTAATGAGAGAGGCATTACTCTTTTAACATTTTTCATATTCAATAGTCTTTTTAATTAAAGACAATATGCTTAATTTATTTTGATTTATAAATTTAAAGTTGACTTCATATGACTAATAGAGTTTGCTTAATCCTCTAAGCTTTTGCTTTTATCAAGTTGAAGCGCGATGGAGGATACACATCGACTAAAAACGACAAGAGAAAATAAAAACTTCCAGGTGATAATTTATTGAACCGCAAATTACTAACTTTTTGTATCTCCCAACATAATTTTCAAGTGTCCTCCAAAAACATAATTTGCTACAGGGTGGCACCCCAACACCGGTGTAATCTGATTTAACATGGTTTTTTTCCAAAATAAAAAATAAAAATGTAATGCAAGTACTAAAACATCATAGCGGCCATAAGCAATAGGTACAATAAGCATACATACAGTAAAACAGATTTTGCAAAAATTCGTGCTAGGCATCCGCGAAGCCAACATCACCAGCACCCACCGCTAACATATCAAACTAAATCAAATTTCCCAGCAAAAGAAAAAAAAAAACAGATTTGAAACAATATTACGAGAAACTAAAAAATCCGCTAAGAAAATTTCGTGGGCATATCTTAGGTTCAATGACATCAACCTCATCTATCAGTTTCATGCCTTGATAGGTTCGTACTTTTCACCTATTGCACCTCCCTTCTTTTTCTGGGATTGTATGTAACGCAGTGTGCAAGCCAAGAATGAATCTGCAGCTGAATCGGATGTGCTAGAATCACTCTGCATCTCGGTCATAATCAATTCAATCAGGCTCTGGATTGAAGCAACAGTGACATGTGGATTACCTTTCTCGAAAAAATAGAGGTACCTGTGGATTCAACAAAGTTGAGGTTTTTATAATCATCAAAAAAAAAATTTCAAAATTCCAGCAAAATCATTAGTGAATATATCTATTACTTGTTCAGTATCTCAACAAAGAGAGTAACTGATCCAGTGTTGCCACGTGTTGCATTGGCCATTTGCTGAGCAGCATTTGCAATTCTTAGTGCCCGTTTGAGACAAAGGAGGACCCTGGGTGCGCAATGGGGATTAGAAAAATCAATTAGTAGAAATTGAATAAATAACAAGTTAAGACTTACAAACCACACACTATTATAGAGCCCAGCAAGATTTTTATTCATATGCAGAAGTAGATATTACAGCCTAATATGCTGCAAATATCAGCATGTCAAACACGGTTCTCAAAAGAAAGTTGTCAATCAAGACCTTTGCGAAGCATATGTGAAGTGTGGTTCATTCATTCAAAAGAATTTCTGACAGCTGATACCAGGACTTATAGTTCCATTACGTATAGAAGTGTATGGTCCATTGCAATAAAAGAATTCAACAGCTAATATCAGGCTTATAATTTTAAATTTCATCCATATATGCAGACAGGAAAGGAGAATACAACAATTTAGGACCGTCACCCAACAAAAAGTAAAATTTAGACTTAATTATTAGCATCACACAACAAACTTTTAAGTGGTTAAGAAGCAGACAAGTGAGATTTGGACAATAAATCCAAAGCAAGATTTGGACAATAAATCCAAAGCAAGATTTGGACAATAAATCCACAGCACAGTCGAATTTTCTAATTGTCTTGAGCCTTTCACTATAGATGAAAAGAAATGCAATTGTAGAAGTGTCTTTGTGCATTTATGCTGGAAGAAAAAATAACAAACCTCTCTCCATCTTTCATCTCATCCTGATCATCAACCCAGAAGAGATGTGAGCAAGCATAAACAGCTCTACACTGATCAGGCTTCTTCAAAAGCTTTGCAGAGTACTGCACGCACACACCAAAAAGAAAAAGAAAGTGCTCCAGATCAGTGTCAGCAGAAGCAGACTTAGGCATTAGCTCGCTCCATAAATATGTCATATAGAGAATACCCCTGTGGCTTTGTGTGTCAAAGTATCCCTGTTTTCGACGCCAAAAACATGCATCCTCTGGAGGGTTCCTATTATTAAGTGCAACGCAGTCACCTGAGCTTTGGAATCCTAAAACAGAAAATTTTGCAAGAAAAATAAATAAAGATCATTTTCCGCTTCACGACCACATTTAGGCCTAACATGAAACACGAGCAATTCCCAGTTGAGCAAACCAACTTACTGAAATTTCTTCTTCATATAATATATATGCCTGGGTGAAAAATTCATATGCAATGGGTTCTAACTCACAGTCATTTGCAGCCTGATCAATCCAAAGAAGAGGGGAATCAATGATAAATATTAATTAAAAAAAATAAGCCAACTTTTCCACTAGACAAATAAACCAAACATCATTCTGTACCTCAGCACATTGCAAATACAATCGTAACGCCAATTCTGGTGCAGGAACATTAGAGAGAGTCTCAATAGTCTGCAGATAGAGTTGTGGTAAAAACAATTAGCTTTTTTTTTTCCTTTTAAATTGATAGAAAATCTTCAAATTCTAAAATTTTAAAATTATGTGCTTTCATATTTGGAAAATCTTGGGAGTCAAACCAATTGGAAATTAACGAATAACACCCCGATATCATAAAGTTCAATCTTTTTTTTCTGGAATTTAAATTTTTTCTCTAAAAAGAAAATGGACTGATAAATGATTGAATTTAAAAATACAACATCAAGAATTTCAAGAGTATCAGGAAAGAGAGCAACCTTAATAAATTAGATTAAAACCAGAAATTCTAAAACCTATTTTTCCTAATCTATAACAATGACACGAATCCCGAGAAGAAGAGTAATGTTCCAGTTTTAGAAAACCTAAGTATAATGCACACTTAATTCTATTGCTAGCACACGATGGACTTGATCTGGTACTATTAAACGCACAACTGAATTGTCCACATTCCCACATAACAACAATTTACCTGATTTAAAAGCTGAAAAATTTTCTTTGGGGAAGCTGATGCCTCCTCCCCGAAGGGATTTTCATCTTGGCCCTGCAGTCGCCTAATTAGCTGCATGTTGCAAACAAAAACTGTGAAAAAGTGCCATAAATGCAGTTAATGAACATTATAAATCGAAATCAACAGAGATACAGTATAACAATAGAAATGAGGAAGAGAGTTGGATGAGGTGAAGGAGGAATAAGTTTGATATCCAACAGTATATATAAATGTAAGATGATGCAACCAGAAAAGTTTAAACCAATTGCTAACAAGAGCAGCGTTCAAAATATTATTAGCATTGAGAATAGATCTGTAACTGATGATACATCAAGAAAGCTGAATAAGCAGAAGCAAACCTTTAAAGCAGAAAAAACAAGAGGAGGAATAGTGAAAGGCAGCCGTTTTGGTCCACCGGTCATGATGTGCTTCCTTACAGTAGATATTATCTGCATCAATAGATTGGTTATGGATGACATAGCTTCTTTCAAATGATTATTTTTTCAAACGAATAAACTAATAAACCTAAGAAATCATTCAATTCCAATGCCTTAACTCAAAAGAGAAGTTGAAAACAAGCAGAATATATCTTATTGCCACTAAATATTAAAATATGCTCAGGCAAACTCATAAAAAGATGACAAGACTTTGAGAATTAAAAATATACTTGGGCAAAATCTTGACTATTAATTCAATCCAACAAATTACAAGTGGAAAAAAAACATGCATGCAACACGAAAAGTTAAAAATCTTTGCAAAACCTCCCAAAAACATAGATTTTAATACATCATTCTGAAAAGGAACTAGCACATGGCAAGAAAAATTCATTCTATTTTGTACCTTCAATATATTCCATTTAGTCAGACTGACTCATTTGAACTAGATGACCAGGATTAAGATGCTCGACTAATAGAAGCACTTAAAATAGTACCAACCTGAAACATCTCTTCCACATCATCATTATGTAACATCTGAATGAGACGTGCAACGGAATTCTGCTCCTCATTGAAATCATCTTCATCAACCTAAATGCAATATAGATAAGCCATCTCAAATTCCTAATGAGAAAGACCACTGCTCTTTTATTAGAAAAGAAACACCACCACAAATATGCCTAAATTTAGAAACCAAAATATAATTGCGAGGAAATTATTCTTTTAACTTCTGGACTAAAAATGAAGCACAAATAGATGATAGGAACACTCTTAACCAACAAGCACTCAGTAAGAAACTGTTACACAAGGTGGCTTCAGCACCATTAACATTACTATGATGACAGGAAGAATTTTAAAAAACCTCATCATGACGTGTCTCATCCAAATCCTTAATAAGCCCTCTTATCAATTCAAACAATGCTTCAACCTAGCAAAAAGAAGAGACATAAAAATGTGGCAGGTTATTAAAGAGAATAACTGAATAACCACTCTAACAAATGGAAGGAAACATACCTTGTCAGCTGAAGAAATATGGGTACTGTTTTTCATAATGCTTTGAATAATAAGCGTTGCCATAACTTTATTTGTCTCACTGTCAAGGTATTCCATGACTCGGGGATAGTTTGAAAGTTTCAAGGCAGTGACAATATTGTTATACTTCTCCAGCGGAGCACTTAAAAGTGCAACAATCTGTTTTGTCGCTTTATTGTCTTCAAGCTTTCCTGTTATAGACAGCTTCTTCACACATGCTCCCTGATTAATAGAGGAAGGCTACAATCATCACTAGAATTACATTGAAAGGACAAAGTTCACCCAGATGTGAGGAAACTATCAATGTTATCCCAAAGATGCTTGATATTAAGTTATTAAAATTTGAAACCTACTCCAAACCAACATTTCAGAAGTATAGATGTGGCACTTTAGTGTGGAATAGAAACCTAATCCATAGTCATAAAGCATCCTACTACAAATATGAAACAGGTATTTGGAATGCCAAACAAATGTCCAGATTGCAGTTTTCAGTGACAGCCAAAATGACCTTAATATAAATTGAATATTTTCAGGTAAAGGAAATGTAAGCCTTTGTACTCTCATCACTTTTTCTTTACAATAGTCTCAGAACTAGTGCATACTTTCAATAATTCATGAAGTGGCATATGCATAACTTCCCAAATACCTTTTAAAAAGAAAAAAAAAAAAAAAAAAAACCAGCACTTTTTAGAACATTTAAATCTCATGCTGGAATCAGAATTCACCCTAATGGTATTTATATGAAAAAGATTTTAAAATATAAAATTTTCATTTTTATGGACTATAAAATTTCTTATGGTTGTGTAAATTACCAGTATTTGTAAGTCTTTCTAGATTCAATAAGCTTGATTTGCCTATAATTTCCACTAAGTTTAACTAATAAGTTTCAGAAACAATTCTCCATAAGACTGGCCTTTTATTCATCTAATTGTTTCTTAACTATAATGCACTGGGACAAAAGAAAGCAACAATAAGGACACTATTCCAAGGGGTAAGGCAAAATTTAGTTATTAAATTACACTTAAAAGTACAAATTAATACTTAACAAAGCTGTTCAGAAAGAAATCATACCAATACTTGATCTGCATAATCAAGTCGATCAGGATGGACATGGAGAGTAAATTTAAGAAGAGAGGAATACAACGTTACAGCTCCAAAAATGGGCATGTCAACTTGTATTTCAATCACCTGCATCATTTTACAGGAATTAACATTTTCAATTGCTTGAATAGAAACACTATTCCTAACCACATAACTATAAACTGGAAGACAAAATGCACATTTAATAGGTGCGTAACATAATATATCTCTCACAAAGCAGCACCATCAAAAGCAAGTTTGTATTTGCACATTATTCTACGAATCTCAACATTCCAATGCTGTTTAGATATCTCAGTTCAGATTATGAAAAGTGACTCTCTATAAAGAAGCCCAGTTAACCTTTGGTTTTCTAGACCAGAAAAATTTCATATTGATGGTATACCTTTTTCTTTTCTCATCTTTTGTCTAACTTCATTTACAGTGCATTGAGAGGGAGGAAGAAGAGAAAGATATGAAAATAAGTGCAGTTAAGTTCAGATTTCTTATTATAGCAAACATTGTCCTTTTCAGCAGATGTTGTCAGTCCAATGGAAACTAGTCGAGTAAAGTTCCTCAAATGTTGTAACACCTCCCAATCAGTCAGCCAACTAATTGTTGTGGCACCTTCCAATCAGTCTGAGAGCTAATTTTAAGTCCACAAATGTTGATGCATAAGAAATCCAATTCCAATACATAAAACTTACCCTCCCGATGGCATTATTCAACTTTGAGAAGGCTTCTACTTGCAAGAACTCAGGCAACACTTCTGTACTTGAGGCGGCATAACTGGAAAGCCTTTCCATCAACTGAGATAGAACCGTCTTGATGTCAACGGATGGCTGAAAAATAAAAATAAACAGAAAGAGGGAGAAGAAAACTTAGTATTTATCATGAGCTAAGTAGAAAAGTTCCAGAATGTAAAAGAAAACATGTTTGCAATGCACCATCAAGTGCTAAAGCATCAATATGCTTTGAGTTGCATAAAATTGTGAAAAATAAAGGCCCAACCAAATCATCATCACAACAGCCACATACCTGAAGCTGTGGGCAGGCACTCAACAATATCTCAAGAGTTTGCAGGTGGTACTCATCAGGAAAGACTTGAATTATGCAATCCATCAGGTAAAACTGAGCAAGCTCATCTTTACAATTGACAACCTTTAAAAACAATTGAGATGCAGAATCAATGGCCAGATGAGAAGAAATGAAACTCATATCACATAGAATTCAGGAGGGAGGAAAGCGAAGCCCTAAACCAAACCTGCTCCAGGACTTTTGGAAGCACAATTTCTTTGTACATGTCAAGGTCAACTCCTTCTAACTGACTCAGAACATGCAAGTTCTTGCCAACCTAATTAGAAATAAGCAGGGAAGAAAATTGAAGGCTTCATCGGAATATATAGAACCTGGTATTTAAATCCTTTACATTCAAATTAACCAGCTATAGGTTACTCATATTACAAGATCACGAAGCTCGCTCCTTTCCTTCTCCCGCTTCTCCTTTTCCCGGGCAGGCCCCTGCAGACCAGAAAGCCCGACAGCAAGCCTCAACTCAGGATCAGCTAAGAGTATGAATGATTCACAAGCACTATAACACCTGCATGACCAGAAATCATGCATTTATGATATAGTTTTACCTCCATGGCATGCAAGCATTCTGGTATGTGCATGCCAGACATGAGAGCAGGAAACAGTCCAAGAGTATTTCAACCAACCTGATGTTGCATCCGGACCCATAGTTTGTTCATCTCCGTAAAGTTTTGTAGCACAAACTCCACAGCATCCATGACTGTGTCAGCATCCCTACAAGAGTCAGGAAACCCATCCAAACATTAGGTCCACCCCTAACAGCGTAAAGATGAAGACATCTGACATACAACCAAATTTGCATCAATCAACATGAACGAGTATTCAGATAGTAAAAAAATGAGAATCCATACTACACGGCAACAAAATAATTTGCAGGACGACTCAATAATTGGGATTCTGATTCTAATGAAGGGTACAAGACAGCATTGGATCAAATATAGCCTTAGCCACGCTGATGGGTATCTACATGAGAGATGCAGGAATAACGAATACAAACTAGATAGTTGCAACACCATGAATAAATATCTAAACAACCAAAATTATTCACCAGAATCAATGTATAAATATCTACTTGGAGCGCATATAAATCATCTAAGACCTTACCCTTCATACTCGGAACCAATATCAGGCAATTTATCTCTACTAACTAGAGAAAGATAACTCCTCAAAAATAGACCACGTAAAGGATGCTGAATACCACGACACATTTCAACCAGATCCTTAAGAATATCCTTAGCAGGAGCTTCTTTAGATTTGATATATACAGATCCTACAGTACAGAGGAGATACCTGCAAGGATCAAAAGAAACTCATCAAATAATAACCAAAAAGGAGCAGAAAATAAGAATTGAAATTAATGCAAGGTCATTGCCATGTCCAAACCAAATATCAAACTCATCAAATATCAAACAGCATACCACAAAAAAGCAAGCGCCAATTGCAGGTATTCTGGCAAAGATTTATGCTAATTTTGACCAAGAGAGTAGTAAAATATCTTAAGCATCCATAACTACCATAAAACAACCTGAAAAAGTCTATTCTTCATTTAACTTCTCCTGCAAAGTACAAGCATCTTATTCTAACAGATATAATCAGATCTGACAGAGGATTATAAGCTTTGATTAACTGGAAAGTTAAGAGAACGAAGTAATGTTTCTTGTGAGCACAAGTATGTTTGTTCTTCGAAAAACATGATTTTTCCCTAAGCAAAACTTAATATATATTAGAGTATCAAGATCAATGTGTTTCTATTTAACTAGGTTGGATGAATAAATTCAATTTACAAGTCCAGCCTAAAACCTCAATATACAGGAGCTCCCATTTCCCACTACAATACTTTATCATCATTCAACTTCCTCAAAAATATAAATTCTCCACAAAGTCATCATAACTTCTTCCTCCAATGAATTTGTTCTAGATAAGCATTATTCCTGTACATGTTCGACACAAGCTGACACAAAGCACTGTTTGCTACTCCTTTCAGAAGTTCAAGGATGTACTCAAGTTTAATCATTTTCAAGCACTCCAAAAGTCAGAACAGAAAGGAAATAAATCGAAAGGACAATCCATGCCAACAAATGAACTAGGCAAATTCACTTCAGTTTTCAACTGGCAATAGACATTGCCATTCTCAATGCTATCTTACTTACTACAAAACTTCTGATGCAAATATTTCCGGCATGACATTAAGTTCTACACAGAAATACAAAAGATGAAGTTCCAGAGACCTTCTTCGGTATAACTAAGCAAGTAAATTGGAAAAAAAAAAACACAAAACGGAATAAACATATATAAGACAATAATGAGTTCTTAAACTGAACAAAGTTTTTCCTGAACTAATACATAAGTCACGTTTTTTTAAATTTAAAAAAAAATAAATAAAGAATACTGTATAGCACCTTTAAGCTCACAATTCATACTCACGCAAGAGAAAATGAATTTAGGTCTCGGCTATTACTATCAAATAAAGAATGGAAATTGGCTTGAAAAGATTCTCACTCACAATCTAGGCAATATGTTACCCGCGTGCTGCACTAGCTCATACAGCTCAATTACCGAGCAGCCACGCCGCGTCTCTTCCCTAAAGAACAATTCTAGTTTCCTCAATTCATCAAAGGCTCGCATATCTGGACCATCAATTACAAATTACAAAAACATAACCTGTCTGAACCGGGATATCAGCAGCAAATTGCAAAAAATGCGTTTTTCAGTCCAACTCTGAGGACGGTCAGATCGAAAAAAACAACTCACAGAGTTCGTAGTATTTATGAGGAGAAAGCTTCGACGTTCGTAGCTCGCTAAGCATCTGAGCGGAATACTTCAAAGCATCTCTGAGATTGTTCGAGTCCTGACAAAAATTAGCGGATTTAACATCAAGCTATAACTAGGGTTTCTTATGCTAATTCGCTTTCAGTCTGAATATGTTTATAGACAAATAAGATTACTGGAAATGAATTCTTCGTTCTTTCAGTCTTTGTCTATAAACAATTAAACATAGGAAAGCGTGACAATGTTACCAGAGCGCGATGCATATAGAAAGCATTCTGTTGGAGGCCGGCGATTCCTGCGGCGAGCCATTTCTCTTCGTCCTCTACCCCGTCTGCGATCATTCTCTCTCTAGCCTCTGCTTTTCTCTCTCTCTCTCTCTGACCCGCTGTTTTCTAATTTCTATCGATGTAAATGTTGCGTATAGTTGCGTTTTGACTTGCTCCGATGTGCTTAGACTAGGCACCTTCAAGCCATTTTCTCAGTTTATGGGCCTGAATTTCTTCGTCTGCGATCTACGTATGATCTGTACCGTTGAACAAGTTAGAGTTGATCTGTACCGTTTATTTGGCTTACCATTTCTGATTGATTTTTCTTTTGTCCCATCTGATATATAAAATATTTTAGTATTTCAACTGAATTTTATTTATTTTAGTTATATTAACTGAATAATTTATTTTAAAAAATACACAAAATTAAATATTTAATTACACCAATTTCTAAAATTATTACTACCCGATGCCCAAGTTTTTTTTTTTTTTAACCCTAAAAAAAGTCAAAGAACTATTTTTGCAATTAAACCTTTGTATAGATTTAATTCAGCATATAATACGTGTATGTCAAGGTCTGGATGTATCACATGCACATGTATTTACAATTTACATATATTATATATCTGTATATTGTTGGTATTTACAGAAGGCTAATCATCCCTATAAGTAAAAACAGAAAATTACATGACACGTTACATTTTTTAAAAAAGGTATTTTAGGAATTTTTTTAAAAAAGTAATTCACATGACAACACACGCATTCGGGTTATCATCACTAAAAGCAGTAGTGTACTTCACTTCAAAAGAGCTGGCACGTGCGAGAGAAGAAGCCTCGGGATCAGACACCACGTTTCGCACGTATCCAGGGGGAGCTTTCTTATCGTAGGCCCCTGGTGCATAAGGATGGCCCACAACATCGTACGGCACGTAAGGCCATAACTCAGCCTTCTTCCCCGTTCGATGTCTGACACGTTGCAACACTTTGGCGGGATCCACATACCCCGTTACACTGAGCTTATGTTGCTTCGGCTCCACTTCCACCGCCGTTAGTCCCCTCATGCCTTCTACTGATTTCTTCACCCGTCTCGCGCATCCTTCGCAATCCATCTTCACTCTTATCTCCACCGTCTGATATTACAGAATTAAGTTTAAGAATCTTTGAAATAGTCAACTCTCCACTAAATGAAGAGGAATATATATGGTGGTAATAAGTACCTGTAACTGCTTGCGTTTCTTGAGCTTTCTGCTACTCGTATAACGAGACCAATCACAGTCACAGAGGTCGGAGATGTAGTTTAAGAAACCCATAACAGTTGACAGACCAAACGACGTCGTGGAGCCAATAATTACTTTCACTAAAATTTCTGGAAAAACGAAGAAGATGATGAAGAAATAAAGAGTTGAAGCAGCATGATACGATGCGTTGTTTGACATGGGCTGCTGGCACGTGTCCTCGCGAACACGTGGGCCGTAGCCCACAGGCCATTCGAGCTCTTGGTAGATCCTTAAAATGTATTTTCAGAAATGGTGGGTGACATCAGTGGGATGTGCAGAATTGGGTCAAATCAGAGAAAGAGAGAGCCCGGGTTGAAGATAATTAAGAAGGGCCCAACGGATGGTGTATATTCAGCTGTCTCTCACAATATTTATTTGGCATACAGAGATAATTAAAAGGGTATTTTCAAAATAAATTTAAAAGTGGAAGACGAAAAGGAAAAAGTAGATGGAAGTTGATGATAATAAATTGAAATTATTAATGCGTACACAATGAGCGATCAACCGCCGACAATGACAGACTTCGGCCACGGATGCCACCTGCTGCCATTTTACAACACACAATTTGATATATATATATATATATATACAGACACACACACACACACACACACACACACACACATATACACCTGTATGTGTTTTCAAAAATTTGATACGATCCCATCAAGCTAAAACTGTTGGTAGGTTAAAGAATGACATTTATTTGTTCATTCATTTAATTTTTTTCACTGTACAGAGTACGAGCATGATCACGATCTACTTGCTTTTTCCACGATATTTCACTTTACTTATTAATTTCAATTGACTTTTCCATGCTCACCATTATGACTCCATAAATACAAGTAAGCAGTAAAGAAAAGCAATAATAATTATTTTCCATGCATTCCTCCATTAATAAAAAAGGTATAAAAATTATTAAATATTTTTAAAATATTTTATAATTTATTTTTGTGCTTTAAAAAAAATAAAATGAAAAATTAAAAATATAGAAATTAAGTAATAAGAATATTGATAAATTTAATTTTGATTTGAATATTAGAGATTTTTTACAAAAAAAAAAAAAAAAAAAAAAATTAATTGGGTGATTAGAAACATAAAGATGTAGAGATCTCATGAAGTAGAAGTTTCAAGACGCAAAAGTAAAGAAGGAAAAAAAACCAGTGATGGACATGCGCCTTGGTCAGTCTCTTTCTTCTCCGATACTTGCATGGGTACAATCTCTATCAACAACCAGAACAAAATAAATATACCACCTAACTCACGCCATATATAGACCTCATACACAACATATACATGACGATATATGTACATGCATGTATGTATGTGTATGTATATATATATGATACTCTCCTCGTTGAAAATGTATATGAATTGATTTGTCAACACAATTAAAACGTAAACCCAGTACAGAAGTTTATTAGTTGAGCGAAAATACAAACCATGTTTTTCCTTTTTGATTACAGTAAATATTATAGTTATATTATTCTGCTAGTTATTGTATGTATAGTTTTGTATAATGATGATTATATTGTAAGTGCAAATGGAGGTAGGAATATTATATTAAGAGACAATGAAACAGTCCCGGCGCTCATCATGTTCGGAGACTCCATAGTAGATCCAGGCAACAACAATTACTTGAAGACAATCGTCAAGTGCAATTTTCCTCCTTATGGCAGAGACTTTCAAGGAGGCAACCCCACTGGCAGGTTTTGTAATGGCAAAATCCCTTCTGACTATATAGGTAATACAAATATATACATATGTATATATGGGAATACTAACTACATACTGACCTTTTAGCTTAATTTTTTTAGTTTTAAAATAATTTCCTTCATTCTTAAATGTTTATTTTACTATATTATGACATAAAGAATGGATATATATATATATATATGTATGTATGTATAAACTATATGACATATGAAGTGGGAATTTTCTTTTCAAGTCTTTTTTTTTTTTTTTTTTATTGGAGCGGTTAATTTTCTATTCTAAAGAATTTATTATTGGTCATAGAGGAAATTGTTTATATTTAATGAAGGGTGTTCATTGTTGGAAATTCTGACAACACAATACTCCAAATGTTTTTAGTGGTGCAATAAATTATCCAACATGTATATATATGTTTACACCAATATATATATATATATATGTATATGCAAGCACACTAGAAATTTTAACTTTTTTTTTTCTCTAATTAATAAACAAAATTTCAGCCGAGGAATTTGGTCTTAAGGAGCTATTGCCAGCCTTTCTTGATCCAAGTTTGCAGCCTCAAGACCTTCTTACCGGTGTAAGTTTTGCCTCCGGTGGCTCCGGATATGACCCTCTCACTCCGGCAATAGTGGTAATAATAGTGACCCTCTTGATTTAACTAGTGTTTGGATACTATTATAATATCTTATAAAATTTCTGATCATATATTTTCTCAATTAATTAATTTTAATTACGTGTTTTGTTATTTCTTTTGTTAATTTTGACAGTCGGTGTTATCGTTAACGGATCAACTGGAGCTGTTCAAAAGATACTTAGCGAGGGTAGATTCAAGTTTTGGAAAGGAGGCAACTGCAAATATACTGTCAAAAGCCATTTTCCTAGTCTGCTCGGGAAGTGATGATATTGCAAATACTTATTTTTCCACTCCATTCAGGAGAGCTCATTACGATATTAACTCATATACCGATCTAGTTGTGAGCTCAGCTTCAAGTTTCATCCAGGTATATATACGCATATGCATAGTTCATGGTATTACAAACATATGTCTATATAAATGAAAGTTATTATTTTTTTTCTGGGTATCATTTTTTTCATGTTAATATGTGGAAATGGCAGCAATTATATGGAGTAGGAGCAAGAAGAATTGGAGTGTTTAGTTTACCTCCAATTGGGTGTGTGCCATCACAGAGAACACTTGGTGGAGGACTAAACAGGGAATGTTCAAATAAAGCTAACCAAGCTGCATTGCTCATCAACTCCAAACTCAATGTTCAACTCAATTCTCTTCGGAAAAAGCTTCCAGGTTCCAAGCTTGTCTACGTTGATATCTACAATCCACTGCTTTCCCTCATCAAAAACCCCGCTCAATATGGTACAAATATATCTACTCTTTCATCTATTCATTGTCTTTACATGAAATATCATTTCGAGTTAGAATCTACGTAACATCAGAATTAGTGACGCTACTATCTCATGCTATTCATTCACTGTTACATAAACAAGATTCGGATATGATTTTATTATTTGTTGGGTGGGTCACTCTATTTATTATTGTATTGTTTTGTGTTGGTAATAATTTGGTCATTGCTTGACTATTTTATACTGTTGATTGATTGTTGATGGATTGACAAGGATTTGAAGTGGCAAATAGAGGATGTTGTGGCACTGGGAATATAGAAGTGAGCATTCTCTGCAATAGTCTGGATGATTCAAAGTCTTGCCCCGACGCTTCCAAATACATATTTTGGGACAGTTATCATCCGTCGGAGAAAGCTTATGAGGTCTTGTCCCCTCTTATCCTCAGCAAGTGTATACGTGAATTCTTTTGATGAACAAACAGTTTAAAGACCAAACTACTCTTCATTTTTTCCTATTAATTTGTCACTGATAATGTATTGATAAGGTGTATTCATATTGAATAAAACTCAATTTCTTGGTCAACCAAGAAATTTGATCTCCATTGAAGGTTGTATTCACCTTACAAATCTATTAGTCTGAAAGCACAGAGCATAAAGCAAGTGCAAATCCTTCATAATTTACCAAAGTTTAGTTAACAGAAATCAGATTCAAAAAATTTGCTTGAACCTTGTCGCTTTAATGGAGTTCTAGTAACAGCTCAATATGATAGAATTAACGACGATTTTGGTTGATTACACGCAAGATATTAGTCAAGCCAAAAGCTTCTACCTCTCTTTTTAACAACAGGGAACATGTGTATACATATAGTTTGCAGGTACTCATGACCAGTTTACTATCTGGTTAAATAATTTTGATTAGCAGCTTTTTTGGGACATGGTTGTTAGATAATTTTTTATTTTCACATGGGATTGTTGTTTGAAAAACAGTGATGATGGTTGTGGTCCTGATTAATATTATGGTTGCTGGATTTTTAATTGTGTTAGGTCCTCTCCACTTGTTCATCTAAACCCTTTATTTAATTTTCCTTTGGCTAAAAAATGAAGAATAAGAGTCATAATAACCCGAACGATTATTTAATATACAAGTGTCATAATTACGTTGATAAAATTCGAATACAAAGCTTGCAACAACAACAATACCGATAACAGTTTATGTTACGATGATGCATTCTTGTTATATTTTGTACGGACTTAATCTTAATGTACAAAAGCGAGCTCGAAAATATTCCTTTTCTAGTAAGAAAAATTTTGCAGCTTGGTATTTGAAGTGGTCACGTCCACCTCCCAACGATAATAATAATGGCACCTAAAGCTTCTTCCAACTGTACTGTTTCATTTTCATGTCCATTAAACTTATGTGGTTGTATTATTGAAAGCTGAGTATTAATGAAAATTAAAGAAACAGATAATCAAGTTTTTAACCTGTTATGGTTATTCCAACTGGAACAGAATTTTTTTTAATCCAAAAGCATAATAAACACAGTAAAAACTTACCCCCAACTTAATTTGCAGTTGAATTGAACTGTTTCTATATAAAATATATTGAAGAACAATTTGTTAAAAATATGAACACCAGTCCTCTTGATGCGAATGAAAACGATATTCATCTCGTTAACTTAAAAAAAAAAAACGAACGTATACGTGTCCGATTGGAAATCAAAATCATGGAGGCAAATCACACGTTTAAAGTTTAAACATATATTGCAGATATAAAACATTAATCGAGAATGATAAAATATAAAAATACACATATGTAGCTAACATGAAATATAAACTCACTACAAAGAACTTTATATATTGAATATTCTAGCAACTCTCCTGAGCAAGTTGAATTGATTAGGTAGAATTTGGTGGTTAGATTCTCATAGAGTGAGAGAAAATATATGAATTAAATTTTCTGAGCCAATGTTTTCTTTTCTTTGAAAACATCTTGATTGGTTGGGATTAATGAAAGTTTTGATTTTTTTTAATTAGATTGTAAAGTTGGGTGCAGCTAAATATGATTTTAATATTCTTACTTACAAATAATATACTTATAAAATATATCTGTTTATCATAAACAGATTCGTTGTTCTTAATTTTAATTTACTTTAATTGTTATTTAAACAAATTAAAGTTATATTTTGATCTAAATAATGATATCATTTTTTTTTTATATATTCATAAAATTTTGAAAAATTTAAATATCTCAAAAATTAATAGAGGTATACGAATTTATCAACGAACTGCAATTCTCTATATACATCTTACTTACAATAATATACTTGTAAAATATATATGTTTATCATAAAGAGATTCGTTGTTCTTGATTTTAATTTACTTCAATTGTTATTTGAACAAATTAAAGTTATATCTTGATCTAAATAATGAGAGCATTTTTCTTTTATATATTTATGAAGTTTTGAAAAATCTAAATATCTCAGAGATTAATAGAGGTATACGAATTTATCAAGAAACTGCAATTCTTCATATACATCAGAAAAGGGTATAGGAAAGCTTGAATTCAATTCATATATTGATGAATATAAACGCAATTGAAACTCATAGGGAGATACATATTTATGTATTTGTAAGACTATTTATTAGTTTTTAAAGTTCAAGCTCTTCCATAGATGAATCGTATATTCAAGAAAAAATGGTGAATTAAAATAAAAGAACTTATCCCACTCATGAATAAATATTTCATAGCACCCTGGTTTGAAGGAATAAATTAGTGTGGGAGATAATGAGAATGCCTTATTTTCTAATTGCTCAAAGTCAAAGGGAAAATTTTGAACACACGA